TCCACAACAAAGACTTGACCAGGATTTTGACCAACAACCTACTAGACGGGTCAGAAAATGGAGGGTGACATAAGACACTGGGCAATCATGCACACGGCTTGTATACCCAGCCGGAGCGCAAACGCGCCTATCGGCAAGGAATCAGGTGCCAGAGGACTGCCCGCGCACACCAAACTGCGAAGGCCATGGTTTTCTGAAGCATGCCACAACATAGGACCGCACATGTGCCCAATAGTTCGACCGTCGACTTCGAGGATGCCCACCGTGTGCTACACACCAAGGTGCAGCAGGCACGGTGACTTACGCGTGAATTAGTTTATAGCGACAATAGACTTGCGCAGGATCTACCGAACTCTCTCTACCTTACTCCCCAAATGGACCCGGTGTCAAGAGAGAGTCAAGAAGACCAGAGGCAGGAGAGGGCGCAGGTGGATGGCAAGCTCGAGCCCGAACCTTGGCATCCCACCCCATACCACCTGGTCCACACAGCAAATGATCAGGTTTTTGATCAGCAGCAGCAGCAGCAGCAGCAGCAGCAGCAGCAGCAGCAGCAGCAGCAGCAGCAGCAGCAGCAGCAGCAGCAGCAGCAGCAGCAGCATCAGCAGCAGCAGCAGCAGCAACAACAACAACAACAGCAACAATAAAACCAACACCCCAACAGGGGTCAGAAGGCGTTACACAGCATGCGCACGCAGTCATAAGGTGCGGCTACACACCCCTACTTATAGGCGTGCGCTGTTACTAACCACCAGGCCGGACAGATGCAATGGCTCGGGGTGCAGCCTCGCGAGGTAGAAGGCTGGTGTGTAACTTGTCAGGACATCGAAGTTCAGAAACTGGGCGTGAACCCACCGCTTAAGCAAGCAGAACGATTGATCATGTTATTGCCTGGGTGCGGATCGGTCTTTTCTTCTGAATGGGCAAACTAGTTTTTGAAGAAGTCTATTTCTTGGCTGGAACTGTTGCGTGTGTCTGACTACAAGTATCATCCCTGACAGAACAGAATTCAAAGTAAAAACTACTTGTCGATTTGCAGAGATGCGGTTTCTGAAACGTTTGCTCAAGAAGTCTTCAAGTGCATTTATGCAGGCTATGAGACCGTCTACCAAGTCCCCGTATTTCATACCAGAGGAGTGCTCTTCCAAGAGGCCAGTAAGCTCTGTCACTGTGAGAAACCATGCAAACGCTGGCTGCACAGTCAATGCGAAGTCAGGGGGGAGTACACATATCTATGTCCTACCCTACGTTTCCATGTGTCCAAATCATACTTCCAGTAGGTGCATCGGCTGTGTGTCATCATAGCCGTCTGAAACAAACCACTCCTATCCAGACAGTTTACTGTTGACAGAATGAGAACCGGCAGGTCTACCATTTCTGCAAACACACACTCTAAAAGTGGAACCGTCAGGACGACGAGCGGCGTTTACGAGAACACGAGGCGGGCCGCGCACATGATTTGCTGATTCACATTTAAAACCCTCAACCGGTCACGCCGCTGCCGTGGCCGCTGCGGCATTTAACTAAAACAGCCGAGGTTACTTTCTAATTTATTTACGTCAGCACTTCGACACTCCCCGGTCAAATAAACTACATGATGCTTCGCGATTGTTTAAACACTAAAGTACATCTGACTGCACTAGTTGTGAGATACTACCATTACTGGCCACGGCCCTGCAGACTGCATGCCAGTTGTCCGACAAAACTACATAATTTGATGCTCATACAACTTCAGCCCTCCCTACGGGTTCCCCTCTGTAGACCCGTGGTCACTTTAGTTGGAAAGGGTGTCAGTAGTCTTTTAATGAACGATGGTCACGTTTTCATTCAATTCTCCCACAAGAAGTCCTGACTGTCGAAATAATTATGATACGGAAACAACTGGATATGATAACATGTTGCTGTTTGTCCAACCACCTCTCCATGCCGACTCCCCCTAGGAATGCATGGTATCAGTGTGCAGAGATGTCGGTGGTGGAACCGATCGGGCAAATGTTCGACAGGCGTAGTTTGGCGAAATAAATCATAGTTCTCCGAGCGTGCCGGCGTGCAGAGCACTGCGCACTCACATCCAGTCCTGCGGGATCGATGGATGTTAGGTCAGCATGCCCTATAATTGTCGCTTGTTCTGTTGTTGTTTCTACCTCTGACGATGGACTCCTGTACGGGGTCGACAGCTCAGAACAATAAACAGACTCCTTCGGTGCTCGAGCAGTCTTCCTCCGTTATCTGTAATACGACGAAGCCAAGCGGGTCCCTGACATTCGCCCCGTCCTAAGAACAAGTCGGCTCGCAAAGCCATTCTCTATCCTCCTCCCCATCTCACCCCCATTTCGCCCTTCCACCTACCCGTCTTGCAGTCACAAATTTAGGCAGGCGTTGAAACGCATGAATCACCGACTAAGATCCTTGAGAATAAAGAAATACTTACTACTGGTACTTCATTGAATGGTAGTTTAAAGGGCTGGAATACAAGTGAAGCGAACCGCAACACGAGACATGACCGTAACTTGTAGCAGGGGTCGTTGGCTGTAGACATGAAGGCACCTTGCACGCCTCATTCCCTTTCACGGAAGATGGGGGTGCGAATGAGACCAGGAGATGAAGAGGGGAACGGCAGATCGCTGCTACTGCGAGGTGACAAACCACCAGAGACACTTGCAATCCCCTCTGGGGGGAGAAGGTAATACGTAAACAGCCCACTAAGAGTGCAACAGGCCAGGCGCAGGTACGGTCGTTGCCGATCCCCAGTGCGTCGCAGGAGAAGCTAATGTCCACGAGTACCAGCAACACAAATGATGAATTTGGCGAAGTTACTGCCCAGGAGTTGTGGAAGCTGCTCTAAATGTAGACAGTGGGTACTAGTCATTTGATCGTGTCGGTCGAATATCCTTTCGAAGCTGAAGATATCGGCAGAGCCCGCGCGGTCTGCGGCTAAAGTGTGAGGAGAAAATAACACCGTCTGTGACGTCCACCATCTCGTTGTAGGGAATTATGCTGCATGATAAGCATTATTACAACTCCGCTTACGTAATCTTTTTCAACTGAGAATGCATTTCAGAATTTCGGGCAGCACTTTATGAGACAATATATGGTAGTATTACAGATGATGAATTTATACTATAATAATATACACGAGGCATTAATAATATAATGTTATATATGCAATATATTATAATAGAATAGACATGCAATACATATATACAATCTAATTTGCGATATCTTTACAATGATCTCTTTGAAATTTACTTTACGTCATATTGTTTTTCCCATTATGACTGACATGAATGGATGAAAGGGCTCGCTGTCGAAGTCTGTGATGTTGTTTTGCAAGAACTGGCCTAAGGGATTTTAACACTGGAGGAGTATTTAGGAGCCATCAGCCTTGCTCATTCTAGTTTGCCAGCTTAACTCCACTTGGGCCCGTGCACGAATGTTCTGGAAGCAAAGGCTCATGACAGCCATGCCAGCCCTATTGACCAGTGCGGTGGGTGCGACACGGAAATAGGGACTCCCCTCCTTCAATAATACAGACATACTTGCGCTAAATTCTAGGGAGATTAGGGCTAGAGTTAGGTTAGGGCAAAGGTTGAGATTTGGATTAGAGTCCAAATTTTCGGTAAGGGCAAAGGTGCCCTTCCTGGAATTTAGCGGGGGGACACTAGCATTACTTTGGGCTGGGGTTCCTACTGCCGCGTGTTGCCGTGTGTTGGTGTGAAAAAGGCGGAAACACATCCAGGGGAGCCTTTAATTTCAATTCCCTACTGCGCTACAGTTGAGGTACAGTTCGGTCCATCCACGTAATTTGCATGTTTTGTCCTATTCCACGAAAGTGCTACCGCCGGGTCAAGTCAGGTGCACGAGACCTGGATGTCAGCCAACCGATTTATCATCGTCACCATGGACATTTCTGCTGCCTGTCTGACTTTTGGAACCCACTTTCAGAGCCTGACGCCCCCGCCCTCCAATTATCTTCCTTTATCGCCAGCAAGCATGAGGGCGCCACAGGCCGTGACGATATGGAGGTCCGGATCACACCCACAGTCTAGGCTTCAAGCCAAATATGTGCGCAAATCACTCTCTCCAATTTCTCAAGTCGGGTAACCTAATTCGTCATATAAAAGGTCAGGACAAAATTGCGTGCCCTCTACTCCCTCCCTCCCCTTGATGTCGGGCTTATTCGTCATCTTCCCTGGCAGCCAGTAATATGCGACTGACTAACGCCCCTGACTAACGCCCCTGACTAACACCAGGCTGGGACGCCTGACTGCACGTCGCGCGTGGTCGGCAAGTGAATTCAGACACCACGCAGTCGTCTTCGTCGTCGTCGTCGTCGTCGACGTCGTCGTCGTCGTCGCAGCAGCAGCAGCAGCAGCAGCAGCAGCAGCAGCAGCAGCAGCAGCAGCAGCAGCAGCAGCAGCAGCAGCAGCAGCAGCAGCAGCAGCAGCAGCAGCAGCAGCAGCAGCAGCAGCAGCCGGGGAACACATCTACAGTGGGTGCTAAATACGGATGAAAACTTGACCGTAGTCTTCAGCTAGACATTCAGTTGGAAAGTAGTAAATAGAGAGGTTTGCCCACTGTAGGATGTCAGCTTGTGCGTTAATTGCTCTCCAAAAAAGTAACTATTTAAGTGGTGCGCATTTCCCAGTTTTTTCCCCATATGGCCGTGGATGAACCCATACCTTGCAGAAAGGATGGGAAGTCATTTCTTTTTTGGCACTTGAGGTGGAGAGCATTCTTCGACTTTTAAAAGAATTACTTACTGTATCTGCTTTTGTCTCCGATGATGGGTTCGAGCAGGAATCCGAAACGTCAGGCGAATTAAGCTCTTGTCTCAGCGACCGTGTCTCCTTCTTCCCGACTGCATCCTGGGACCCGTCTCTTCGCTTCTATTGAGAATTACCTACCCTCTGAAGTTCGATCCGTGGATTCCCTTGTGTGTAGGGTTTCCGACCTAGTAGTATTCTTGGTAGTATATGAAGCAATAAAATCAGTAGCTGCGATAGCAACAGGAATAAAGGAATGATGAGTAAAAGCAGAAATAATGGTGGAGTAATAATCGGGGGAATTATTATTACCGCCATTATTATTAGTTGAGGTTGAGGTAGGGACAGTAGTAGCACTAATAATGTTAGTAGTAGTGGTAATAGTGGTAGTTGTACCATTAGTTTATGCATAACAGTACCGGCCGTGGTAACATTCGGCTAATTGACAACGGTAACGGTAGTAATGGTATTTGGATTATTATTTTTTACTAGTGTTATTAGTGGAAGTAGGAGCGGCAGTTCCAGTGTTTGTGATGCGTATGTCCCTAAAACGAGCCGGGTGGTAGATGCGCAGAAACAACGCAGGGACTAGATCGGAAGCCGACAGGTGTTATTGGGAATGAACACCCATAACAAATGCCAACACATCGGGTGTGGCGACTGGCTCAGTTGCCGGTTCACTTCTTGCCAGTTGGGATCCGTGCTGCTCGACTACTTTTGTTGAGGTATAAAATGCTGGGTCAGTGTACGTTGTGGACAGGGGGTATGATGGTGCGCCTAGGTGTGGGTTTACACCATGTCAGCCATCTCTCCCACCTCCGGTCTTCTTGACTTCGTCTTGACACTGGGTCTGGATGGGTGAGGAGGAGGAGAGAGTGCGG